AGATCTATGGAATTTTGTCTGTTTTGGCTCAGGTGTATATTGGAACCTTTCTTACAGTCAAGATCTCTCTAATTCAGATTAGATAAAGTTGGAAGCAGCATTGATGATTAAGCCCAAGTATCATTTTTCTGTTAAAAATCATTACATTTTGTTTTGTGCTTATATTGCATCTTTAGATATTTCATCCGCAGTTTTCTTTATTTCTTCCCAGCCTAGAGGAAGCTTACTTTCCTTAGCCTGTGAGGATGGATATTCCTGAAAGCGAATTTAGGAGAAATGATCATGCTAGTGTTCTTTGTTTTCCATTTCCTCCTCCCCATCTACCAGGTTGGTTGGTTGGTTTTGTTTTTTTAAATTGAAATTTTTAAAATTTCAATTTTTATTTTTAGCTGGGTTTAAACAGACTTTCTTGGGAATGGCAAGCAGACTTTCTTGGGAATGGCAAACAGACTAGCAGCAGTCTTTGGAAGCAAGATGCAGGTTGGCAGGGAAGGTAATTGTCAGAAGTATGTGAAAATACGCTTGGGCAGTTAGGCTTTTTAACTTCTTCATCATGACAAAAGCCTCCCTGTATTTCAAGGTCCTAGATGTTTGTGTTGAGCAAAACAGAGGAACCTGGGGAGGCAGTTCAAATTAATTAGACATGTTAGAATTGTTTTCTCAAGGCTTAAAGTTGTTGCTTGAGAGATATTTATGTTAGAAATTCCTTCCCTGACAGGTACAAATAAACATTTATTGTATGTGATGGTAGAGAGAGATGCCCCTGCAAGCTCTGGCATTTCATCTCATCCACGGAGCGAAGGCGTGGGAGCCCAGTGTGCTGAGCGTAATTCCTAGATCTGAGAAATGTTCTTTTGTTAATCCCCTGCAGTTACTGTCTCCTGGGCGCAGGCTGTAGGGAATCTCTGCGGTGATGTAGGTATGTTTGCTGCTTTGCAGATGCAGGAACTGGGGTATGTTCACGCGAGGCAGCTCGTGGAAAGTGAAACGCTGTCCTCAGTCTGTGCGCTGTCTTTTAATGCCGCTACTGACCGATAAGCATTACTGGACTTCAGTCTGCTTATGTGTAGGGTTCTGAAAAGCTCTGGAAAACCTTCTTGCTCTGGTTTTAGGATGTTGCTATGCCAGTAAAGCAACAAACTAAAATGACAATGACCTGTGATGTGGAGAAGCTGAACTTAATTCCCTGAAGCTTTCAGAGGAAGTGGGCTTTGAGCTAAGGCAGTTACGAGTATCCTGCTGCTGCTTCTGACAGCTTTAGGATCGATCTCCCACCTGAGTGGCAGTGCAGTCTGTCACAGCTCCAGTGCTGAGTTTGGCTGGTCTCAGTCGAAGATACTAACTGTAATGTCATTTATCAAGAGTAACTCCAAATCTTTGCAGTGGTAAAGAAATGAACCAAATCAGGCAGATTTTTAGCTTGATCTTGATCATACAGATGATGATGATGCCATGGGGCTTTCCTAGATCAATTCCTCCAGATGCATCCAGGAGGCAATTCCAGCCCAGATCTTGCAAGGGATGGCTGTTTGTTCTAGGTGACAGACATAAGCTTTGTTTCATGGTGGATGGTTAGTTTTATTAGGACTTGGCTAAGAATTTAAGTTCATTTTGTCCTGGTGCAGATTTTAGAGGGTATGTCTGCAAACCAGATTTAGTTTGGGAAGGATGTCGCTACTACAGAGCCCTGCTCGTGTCAGACTTGAGCTAATGCTGTGACAGTTTAGGTGGCACACCAAATAGGCAAGATGTTGTTTAATTTATATGAACTCTTTTCAACTGGACTATTGGTCTGTCCCAGCAAAAAAGCATCTGCACTAGAGTGACCACACTGCCTGTTTTGGTCTGTCTTACTTCAGCTCTTGATAACGGCAGCATAACCATGTACCAGTGACTCCTGAGATATTTTACTAACTGCTGCCTCTCAGACCTTTTGAAATATGTTGCCACACTGTCAGGCAAAGAACAAACCCATTCAAGTGTATGCATTTGAAAAATAAGCAATGCCAGAATTTTTCACTCTTTGCCTTACGGAAGGATCCACTTTATGTAGCATTACAACCTAATGTTTACATAGTCAGTTTCAGTTTTGTTTGGGGATGTTCAAAGGGGGCTTCAGCCTTGTTGTGAAATGTGGGAGATGTGGATGACCATCTGACTGGAAGTTCAAAAGTGGTTGTGTAGACAGAAAGCTGGTTTATTTTCCACGTGCCAAGGATCAGTTTCATTTTATTTAGATGAAACCAGATTATGGCATTGAAAACCCAAGGGCATTAACATTCTTACATAAAGCAAGTTGGGAAGTGATGTTACGGCTGAACTGATTGTTAATTATACAGATAGTCTCGCTGCGTATTTTAAGACTCCAGGAATGTCTTGTGATACAATAGATTTGGGGAGTTTTTATTCTGATGGGAAAATAGAGCAGTGAGTGAGTTAGGAATGAAGATACTAAGCATGGGGTTTGCTTCACTTGGGAGCACGCTTAAAATTGATTAAATATTTGCTTTCAAGCATTTAATCTTCATCTTTGAGGCACAGACGTGCTACCTCTGTCTTTCTCCTTAGGCCTTGTTGTAAAACTCTATTCAAACCTTTGTGGTGCCTTACATAATGGGTAATGCTATGGAGGATCAGCATCCCTCTTGTTGAGGTCCTGCTTTTGTCCTGTTGTTCACTTGACACAACCAGAAAGAAGGGCTAGTGGTTGCTGAATAGTAGCTTGTGATGAATTTGAGCACTGGGCTTTTCAAACCCTGAGCCTTTCACTGTCATTGGTGACAACAATCTACTGCTTCTGTGCTGCCTAAAAAAAACCCCAAAACAAAGTAAAAATCCTGTTCTGTGCATCTGGGGAAAAATAAAAGGAATCTGTTAGTGTAAGGAAGATGGGATTTTTCCATTTAGGTATATCAAATTTTGCTCTGTGGCATGTTCGAATGATGATTTATAAAAGGTCTGGGATTAAAAAAAAAAAAACCACCACTTGGTTATTTTTGGTTACTTTCAACCTTTTCTCTACTCTGCAAAAATAAACAAATAAACCAACTGAAAAAGTTAAAAAGTTGGGACAGGGAAGAGCTAACCTCTCCTTATGTCCCAGCACCGAGTACCTTTGTTTGCACTCATATAGACTATTCCAATGTGAATGTCTTAAGGTCTGCCTAGGGACCTACTTACCTGTAACTGCTTAATTCTAGGTACTTGATTACCCCATCTGAGATGGTTTCAGTCTTTGCTGGGTATAGCATTTGAAGTGAATTGCTGCGAAAGTGCGAAGTGGTTAGGAGACACAACCTGGGGAAAAGGGGGATTGTTGGGATAGGAGAGTTACTCTTAGGAGTAGGCATTAATGAAAGCAGATGTGAAATAAAAAATAAAATAAATAAATAAAAGCCAACCCCCAAAAAACCCCAACACTACAAAACACAGTGCAAACACCCTGAGGAACAGCTGCAGAGTTTCTCTTTTTGAACTGGGCTCTGGGAGATTCCTTTTGGGAAGGAAAGTGTTAAGACTTGTTAGCCTATTTTTGTGAGAGTAGGCTTTTTTTTTTTTTTTTTTGGTTAGAGAACTCTAGGAGAAGTCACATTTAGCATTTCTGCCTTGATTACCTATTAAAAATACCTATCTTGTTTGGCAGGCTTTTTGCACTCAGTTTCTGTTGGTGTGATATGATGTGTTAGACTTACAGCATTGGGCCTGCATTCTCTAATCCTCATTTTTCCTGCTGTTAAATTCTGTACATGGCTCTTTCCCAGAGAGCCCATGGACATCAGCTTAAATATGTTGTGTTTCTGTGTGTCACATGCTCCTAGATGCGTGACAGAGAAGAGGCATAACAAACGTCAGTCACACCACAGGTTTTGCATCTTCGCAGGCAAATCTGCGTCTGCAGACGATGCTCTAAGAGGTGACCCCCATCCACTGTACAGCATCAGGAGTGGGTAGTTACTTAAACTAGAATGAGTCAGTTGAGGTCTGCCCCCTTGAGCAGGGCCAGACCTGAGATTGAGATGCCTGTATTCACTTTGTTTCAAAGACCCTGCAAATTAAATTGCTTCCAATGTCCCTGATTCCACTTCAGTAGGACAATTTTTTGCTTGCTTGCTGGACACTGAGCCACGTTGTTCCTCAGAAGTATTTTGCTATGAAGGCTTAAACTACTGAAATCCTTCAGCACATTTGGACCGTTTTTATAGTTCAGCAACAATGTAGGAATAGCCTCAAGCTGTTCTTTTAAACTGTTGCCACAGGATGGAGCTGTTGCACTGCCCAAATCGGCTCTGTCACAGAAAAACTGCGACCAAGCACTGTTTTCCGTGCTAACCTAAAGCTACACTCCTAACACTTTCCTTGATTATTCACCAGTCCGTGTAGCGTGGCCTCAGTTTATCCACTCTCAAGAGGTAGGAAATTTGGAGTAAGGTGTTATTGGCTTGCTGAGTGTAGGTCGACTTTGTTTCTTTTAGAGGCAACTTTGCCATATGACAAGCCCAGGTAGTGAGGTAATAATCCACATAAAGGCGATTTGGTTCACATATCGCAGAATATGTTAAATATTAAATTTGGGGGGTTTTAAGCCTTTATTAAATCCATATTTGTGTGTTAGAAATGTGCCAAGAAGTGTTCTAATGAAGCAGCACCTGGGGGTTAATAAATGATATCATGAATCCATTCTGATTGCCAAGAAAGATTTTAATAAAGGAAGCCATGCCCAGGGTTGACTGTTTCATCCATGAGGAATAATTGTTTTGTTTCCATATTTCTTTTATTGGTTGGTAAAAACAAGTTTGCTTATTAGCATCAAGTAATTTGTGACTGTCCTGCATATTTCTGCATACTGTTGGCATGAAGAGCCTTCCCTCGGTAGGTCTGCCAGTGCAAACTGTAAGAGTGTGAGAGGTGTTACTTGGATTGCTTGAAGAGCTTCCATCTTTTAGTGCCTTTCACATTCATCTCATTTTCCTCTGTTCCCTCTTCTCCCCTCAAACTTTCAGGGCGAGGTGAAGACTGAAGAGGGGCCAGAATGGAAGATACTGCGGGATGACTTCATGATGGGAGCATCTATGAAAGACTGGGACAAGGAAAGCGATGGAGAGGGCAATACTGAACCAGGAGGTGGTGTGAAACAAGAAGAGGACAGTGACTGAATGAAACTGAAAACCATTCAAGATAATATTTTATCTTCTTAACTTTCTTTGGATAAAAAGTCAGCATTCTGTGAATGTACAACACTCGGAGGATATCTCTTTTTTTAAAAAACAAAAAAAGACTTGCACAACTTTGGAGTGTTTTCTCCTCCACGTCAAACCTTTATTTAATATAACTTCGTTTGCTATACTGAAATCCTGAAATATTTTCCAAAACATGTATAATTTTCAACATATTTCCAAAACATTTTGTACAGTCAAAATAGTGGCACCTGCCCAATGAAAGAAAGATTTTGCCAAGGTCATTAAAAGTTTATACATTAGTCATGGCAATTGATATATTAGTGTGCCTGCATTTCCAAATCAGTGTTGCACTTTGAAAAGTTGTTAGCAATTCGCAATAGAAATGGCTTCAATAAACACAGAAATGCCGTCACCTTGTAAAGTTATCGGCCTCCTATAGAGTCTTTACTACTTTGGCCAGAAAAGGTTTTGTAGATAATAAAGAAAAGTAACCATTAATGTGATAGTTCTGGTCTCAGAGCATTAGTTTGATTGGAGACAACTCTGGAAACATAATTGTAAAAAGAGAGACTTGACCTTACTGATCAGCTTTCATACTTTGGGAGGGAGAGAGATGTCTGGTTTTTCCATTGCAAATCTGAAGTTGTATAAGCTAAGAGACTGGTAAGAGAGGAAAGGACAGTTGTTTTTGTTGGTTTTGTTGGAGAAGGCAGGGCTTTTCTAGTAATACCACATAGAATTGTATTTGATGTTGCTTCACTTGCAGTTCTGGTGTTTTGGCCTTTTTCAGTAAGAGCCAGACCTCCGAGATACATCCTGTGGGTTTAGTCGGCTGGCACGCTAATTCCTCCGGTCCGTAAAGGGTCCAAAAAAGCCCTTCCCCTTAGGTGCGGGCTGTGATGGTACCAGATTTTGGAAGACGACTGTCAGCGTAGCACTGTTGGCTTTGTTTAAGCTACAGCAACTTCTCCTAATTAGTTGTTTGGTTGTGAAGGTGCAGAAGCTAATGTACATAGAATACACCCTGTATAAGTGTGTACCTACGGAAGGCAGTGCCTTGTGATTAAGGGGCTCTCGGTGAGAGGCTGGGGTTGAGTTCTGCTCTTCACTGTTCCGGACTGGCTGCCTGATGTGTTGTTTAACATCACTATCACGTTTCCCCATTTGCTATGTGAAGAAATTGCCTTGGGGACTATTAACTGATGCTTAAAATACGTATTTCTATTTTGTCTGTTTCTGCAGTTACCTTACAAACCTTTCTTTGTACGTGCTTATATGCAAGATACAATTAGGAGTGGCTTTCAAATTTTCCATCTTCAGCATTGAAAAGTGTGGTAGGACAGTGGATTTAGATTTTCCTAACGATGGCATTGAAGAGAGGAGGTTTGAACTTTGTGTATACTGCAGGATAAAAAAATATACATACAAAATGGCAGAGAAACCCATTCCAACAACTGGCAGTGGTTGTGTTATCCCTAGCCTGTTCATCTGGTATACATTGTAGTGTAATTCTTTGAGGAGAACTCAAAGCTAACAGCAGAAATGTTTAGATTTTCAAGCTGTTTTGAGTGTTAAACATATTAGATATCTGAGGAGACATTAGTTTGCGGCCTGATATTTATTATCACAAATGAAGGCATACACCCAAAATATCAAGTGGTGAAACCACAGAAGTTTGACATATGGTTATCCCAGCTTCTGGAGGCTTGACATCTGTATAGCTGTTCTGCAAGCATTGGCATCTCATTAGTGTAGTACAAAAGTACACTACAGTGTAATCTACGAGGCAGCGTAATAGTTTAATCTGATGTTGCTTTCTTTCTACAGGTTTCAGTTACTTTGTGTGGGAAAAATTACACCAGCTCTTAAATCTGCAGTTATTCTCTAGTTTGGTATCACCAGTCTCTGTCTGAGAGCATACTTTTGGAAAATAATCTAGTTTTCTCTTGGAACTATGACAACCTGAGGTGATTATTAAAAATTTTAAATTACTTTCAGAATACTTATAGAATACTTGGGTGTTTGGGTTTTATTTGTGCATTTTTGAAGTAATATTTTAATTAAAGCACTGAAGTGTCACTTGTGTATTTAACAAAAACTTGGAATATACTGATACTGCTAAAAATATCTTCAGCTTCAATTTCATTTAAAGCGCATAGCAATCCTTTTTGCCTGTGGGTGGAGTGCATTTCTTGCCTTTTAAGAAGCCTAGTACTCAGATCTTTATGTGTGTTGGGTAATTTTTTTAATTTTGGTACTGTACCTTGCCTTTGCCTTGTCCTTTGGTTGTGCCACATGCAAAGAGCAACTCCTAGAATAACTTAAGTTGGTAACTACCTCCAGAAGAGAAATAAGCTCAGAACTCTTAGAGCAGTTAGGAGAGGTGTATTTTACAAGCCAATTTATTTCACAAGTTTTGTTTTAATTAACTTAACAGTTCAGAAGAAGAGCTAAACCCTGTTTGGCCTAGATACCTTTCCAGTCTTCTCTCAGCTGTGGGATCAGCTACCCTACCTGCTTTTTCAGCAATACTCCTTTTCAATAGCTAGCAAGAGCAACCTTCAGCGGCTTTTCCTAGCCATCAGAGTACTCCATCTGTTTGCCTGCTCCCATGAATATCTCTGCTTAAGCAAAGCTGTGCTGCTGCCCTTCATTCCAGAGAGCATGAATCATCCCAACTTTGTATATTTCTGTACCTATCTATATAAAGCCAATAAGGATGGGTTGGTTCCAGTTTTGTTAGGCTTCAAGCCAACTCCAGAGTATGTAGAGTTTAATATTCTATGGATTGCATGCAAAGCAGCAAAGCTTTCTTTAATAAGAGAAGACACAGGGTCAGCTCTTCCCCATATATCTTATCCTCTGGTCTGATTTCTCCTTACATTAATTGCACTAACATTTTTCATCAAGGAAGGCATGAGTTGGCCTATGGAAAAAAAACCCAAACAAAACATCATCTTCCTCCTTTTCTTCAGCTTGCTGTTAGGGAAACACTTCAGGAGTGGTGGTGGAATACCCTTGTTGTGCCTGATGCTACTGCACCGCAGCATCTTTCCTGCTAAAACACGGAGGGAAGAGTTCCCACTTCTGCAGCTGTGAGGCAGGATCTCCTGGGTTCACAGGTTGAGCAGAACAAAAGAGCTGGAAGCGGTTTCCTAGTGAAGATAGGGCTTTTGTGTGTGTGTTTTGTTCTAAAGAGAGAAATGAATTTTTGGAGGCCGTAAGTGTGTTTTGACTATCTGATGCTTCCAGAAGAAGGTGGTCTGTAAAGCTGCATCTGCTCAGAGCTGGCTCAGTAGCTGTCTCCAGAGAGGAAGGCAGAAGTCATCTGGCACACAACACCCTGCACAACTTAGAACGACAAACTCCTCATTCTTATGAAATGAGTCCTGGTGTATTTAATATCCACACAGAGCAGTCATCGATGTTGTTCACTTCCAACCCCTGCAAATTACTCAATGATTTCCTCAAGACTTGCTGAGGTAAGGAGTAAGAGGGCCAGGAGAAGGCTTGAGGTAGGGAAGACTCTGAGAATCTTGTAAAACAGAGAGGATCCTAGTGCTAAATAAAATGTTAAACTTAGAGTCTAGAACCCAAGCGGCAGACACTGGAGACTGGTCAAGTTCTTGGTTAACAGATAGTGGAAGACTGTCGATTCCATTTACTGCTGTTCTAAAGCAGTGACTTTTAATCTCTTGTCAGTATGTAAACCTCAAAGGTTTCACCTCTGTAGGTGATCTAGCAGAGAAGAGCTTTTCATTAGCCATTCTTAGACAAAGCATTTTGTTTTCAAATGCATCTTCTTAGTTGCTTTTCTGTCTTAAGGGACATGTTGAAATAAAATTCCAGTCAAACTGAATAGCTTCAACACCAGAGATGCTTTGTGTAATGCTTCATCCCTTGGAATGATTTTTTTTTTATCCATGTGTTTAATCAATTTGATAGAAATTATAAAATGAATTGGGACACTTTCATCAGGCCTTCAGAAGTGACCTCATGAGCATAAATGGCTTCCAAGAGGCACTTTGGAAGGTGACTGTAGGAATACTCATAAAAAACTATTTCTTCAGACTGCCTGAGTTGTTTCAATGGCCCATTCTCTCATGCCAGCGAGTGAACTTTCTGAGCATGATTTTGCAACATTTTCTTAGTGTTTCTTAATTCGGTTTTCAGTGTGTTTGGTGTTAATTGAGAACTGCTAACCAGGATCAAACTTGCATTGAGGTTTGATACCACTAAGGTTTCTTACGCACAGAAGTGTTCTCAAAGTAGCTAATAATTAATAGAAATAGTTCACTTATAAGATGCACTGGTGACACTTCTTATCAGAAACTGAATGCCTAGTTCAGAAATGGTTAAATACACCAGCTGCTGATGTTATGTACTAATCGGGTCTTTAAATCATGTCTATTATAGGCATGTGTGATCACAAGTAGAAGGTAAGAGGGTTGTTTGCCATAGTTTTAAAACCCATTTGAATATTGTACTTGTATTTAAGTACTTAAAACCCTCTGGCCATTTACGGGCCCTTTATAAACTGCATTATGAATGTAATCTTGGAGATTGTGACTGAGGGACTGTGGCTATTCAATCACTTTGTTGCTTTTAACTTTGTTTTTCTCTCCCAGTAAAGGAGGGCATTCCCATTCCTGTTCAGAACAGAAACGCATACGAGTGTTGCTTGATCCGAGCAAAATGGCAGTGAAAAGCTTTCTTGATTATGTGGATGTTTGCATTGACTTTCAGGTTGTGCATGGTTTATCTGAAGAGGATTTTCTTTGTTACTCAAGCAACCATAAATTGCAAAGCTTGTGGGCAATGATGTGTTAGAAGAGTAGGAAGTCGCAGGTAGAAGTACAACTATTAGCAGTCTCTGGCTTCGTTCCCAGCTCTGCCAGTGGCAGAGATTTCTAAGAGGATGTTTTTGAAGCAGCCTTATACTTAGGGTACCGGACATCCAGGGACAACTACTGGTCTGCATCCATTTCAGGAAGGGTGGCTGAAGTCAGGCAGCTGAACAAAAACTGTTACTAGAGGGCTGGGGGCCTGAGTTCACTGCTTTTTGCAGCTCAGATGTCACACGGCCATAGGGTACTTCGGTGTACAGGTGTGTTTAGGTGAGTGGTACTTAACTGAAATCTTGTTATGTGCTTATGAAAGAAACTTATTAAGAAAAGGCTTCATAAAATTGTGGAGTGGATGTCACTTCATGATAACAGAAAAAGACTATGAAGATTTTTCAGAACCTTTAGGCAAGATCCTCAGTTTAAGGGCTCGTTACTCTGCCAAAACAGCGTTTTAGGCCTAAGTATATACATACTTCCAGTAAGAACATGGATCAAACAGAGCCAGCGTGGGGGGATGACTTTTATTGACATTCATTCTTGTGGACTGTGTTAGCAAAGGGACCAATCAGGCTCTGCAAGGTGTTGAACGCCTTTTTGACGCTGCACCCGTGCAGCGAGCAGGTTAGATCAGGATCATC